GCAGAAACAACTTATTAGCGACGCCCTGGGCAGGGAGCAAGCTCAACTCCTATCAGACAGTTAAATTGCTAGCAAGGGTTCTGCTAAAGTCAGATTTTGCGAGGTGAAGTGCAAATCGATTGAGGAGATGAGACTGTGCAGGAGCTTTTATAGCCCCAGAGGAAGGTGGGACCCCCCTTGCCTGCAACAATCTCATTGGCCCTGACAGGCGTTTTGATAGTTTCTTCAGGTTGGTCTCGCGAGGACGCAATCCCCACACTAATGTGTTGTACCGAGTGTACCGACCGAAAAGGAACTACACCCTCGCCACTTCCTCTCCGACACTGTGAACTCTGGTCGGAGTCACACTCCCGGCCAAAGCAAGCTCCCTAACCCGCGCAGAATTTAAATACAGCGGTCAACTTTCGGATGAACTACCCTCTCCCCCAGCGTAAATAGGATCTGACGTTACCCCTGCACTCTCTGCTATGTGTATCAAATAAACAAGTTGCATTAAGATTCAGGATTGATGTTGAGGAAAAGTGTTTTTTGCAATAACGAAATGACATGACTATGAAACATTTTACGAAAAATAATTTTATTAAAAGACTGACATTCATTGTAAAGAAATGCCTATATATTTTAACCTGTTTATCTTAGCCTATATGAAAAATTTTACATTCACGAATACATTTCAATATTAATCATAGCGTACATTATTTTGAAGCATTAGGCCTATATAGTCTGTAGAATTTAAAGCTGTTAAAATGTATAAAGACTTACGCTAACTATTTTTCTTTAATGCCTTTGTTGCTTGTTACTTGATAACGTTACCCTGTGTATTTAGTTGTATCATGTTCTATTCTGTCGCTTAATGTAGGCTATTTTGTTTTGGCTGAAGTTTAATAAGATTCACTAAAAACAGCTGTATTGTCTATCGGGCAAGAGTATTTTTTTATTGAACACAATGTTGTTAAACTGTGAATGGTGAAATGAAATGTTAGTGTAGTCTCTGAATTTAAAAATCCTACATGTTAACCAGAAAAGTCACACGAAACTCACCCTAACCATCAGGGTGTGTGCCTAAACCTAAGTCAGCGATTGTATGCATGTCGACCGGCTAACCCTACAGCTGTGCACATCGGTCGTGCTAGCAGCTAGGGTTAGCCTCCTTTGTGTTGCTCACATTGTGAGATTGCTGTCATTATTAAAAATTAAAAATGTTTTTAATATCTAAAGTATAGTCATATTACATCATAGTGAACAATTAAATCTTCAGTGATTAAAAAACATTGTTATCTCGATATGAAATATTTCATTGGATCATTTTGAATAGGCAGATTTGCGGTAACCTTCTTTGACTGACAGAGGAACGGCTCTTGCTGGCGGTACGGATCTGGCACTTACAGGGTGGTCAGCAAATAAATATATCAGGAACTGCATACAAGGCATACCGTTCTCCAGACAGACTCTTCTGGACTTTACTACACCACAAAATGTGGCTTATTGTAGACAAATTCTGTCTTAAAGTAAAAGAGGTTTCCTTTAAGATATTACATAGTATATATCTGGTAAAAAAGAGGTTTGAGTGATTTAGATTGAATATTCTTGCACTTTCTGTCTATTACATGAAGAATCAATTTGTCATTTATTTTATCAATGTATATATTGTAGAATGTTTTGGTGGGATGTTGAACGTTATTTGAAAAGGAAAACTGGACAAACGTTTCAATTTCAGGAAAAAGACATTCTTATGTTTTGAAAGAAATGAGAAGGAAAAAGACAATTTTTTTGTACAGTTGGTATTATTGGGGAAATTCCACATCCGCAAGAAAAAATGGACTGACTCCAAACTAAACTTTGGACACTTTCTGCATCAGTATAGCACCTCAATTAAAAACGTTAAGAACAAGAAGGCAATCATAACTAACTGTGTTCTGGGTGGTCAGATCTGCTCGGGGCCTGCGCCTGCTGGTAACGCCACTTAACGTGATTGGCTGTACGTTTGTATGATGACGTGGCAGATGGTATGTCGTAGTGTTTACGGATACTAGTTTTTGGTGAAATAATGTTACGACGCTAATGTTAGCAGCCCATCTACTTAAGCTAACGTGTGTGTACGTTATTTCCCTGGAGCATATCTGGTACCTACACTGGCATCGGAGGGTTTAACAACCCACTACCACTCCGCCCTCGTTTGTTTCAGAACGCAATGCGGCGGACCCTCTGCATGAACGCGCAGACAGTGGAAGTAGGTAGGGAGAGGGAGGAGCAAGCAGTTTCGGAAAGGCTCTGACACTTTGAGCCAAGAATGTTTTTACTCTCAAGTCGATTATTAGCAGCGTTCTTATGAGTAATTCTGAGAAGCTTAATAAATACGGGCCCAGAACCAAGTTAAGGTTTGAATGAGTATTTCATTAATTTTAATAAAGCTCAATAATGGAAAATTGTTGCGTTGTACTTTGCATGTTATTTCCTTGCATAAAGTGAGAAAACTTTTTCCTGATCCTATTTTTTATTATTTAATTAAAATTATTTAATAAGCATGAAATATTCACTGTGAGAACTTTTCACTTGCTTTATGCAATAGTTTAAGTTCTAGCACTTCACTTTAAGTGCATTTCTTAACATGCACTCAAGCAAAAATAGAAACAAATACACTACTCAAAAGAATAAAGGGAACACTTAAAAAACACAATGTAACTACAAGTCAATCCCACTCCTGTGAAATCAAACTGTCCACTTAGGAAGCAACACTGATTGACATTCAATTTCACATGCTGTTGTGCAAATGGAATAGACAACAGGTGGAAATTATAGGCAATTAGCAAGACACCCCCAATAAAGGAGTGGTTCTGCAGGTGGTGACCACAGCCCACTTCTCAGTTCCTGTGCTTCCTGGCTGATGTTTTGGTCACTTTTGAATGCTGGCGGTGCTTTCACTCTAGTTGTAGCATGAGACGGAGTCTACAACCCACACAAGTGGCTCAGGTAGTGCAGCTCATCCAGGATGGCACATCAATGCAAGCTGCGGCAAGAAGGTTTGCTGTGTCTGTCAGCGTAGTGTCCAGAGCATGGAGGCGCTACCAGGAGACAGGCCAGTACATCAGGAGACGTGGAGGAGGCCGTAGGAGGGCAACAACCCAGCAGCAGGACCGCTACCTCCGCCTTTGTGCAAGGAGGAGCAGGAGAAGCACTGCCAGAGCCCTGCAAAATGACCTCCAGCAGGCCACAAATGTGCATGTGTCTGCTCAAACGGTCAGAAACAGACTCCATGAGGGTGGTATGAGGGTTCAACGTCCACAGGTGGGGGTTGTGCTTACAGCCCAACACCGTGCAGGATGTTTGGCAAATTCGCCCTGGCACCCTGTGCTCTTCACAGATGAAAGCAGGTTCACACTGAGCACATGTGACAGACGTGACAGAGTCTGGAGACGCCGTGGAGAACGTTCTGCTGCCTGCAACATCCTCCAGCATGACCGGTTTGGCGGTGGGTCAGTAATGGTGTGGGGTGGCATTTCTCTGGGGGGCCGCACAGCCCTCCATGTGCTCGCCAGAGGTAGCCTGACTGCCATTAGGTACCGAGATGAGATCCTCAGACCCCTTGTTAGACCATATGCTGGTACGGTTGGCCCTGGGTTCCTCCTAATGCAAGACAATGCTAGACCTCATGTGGCTGGAGTGTGTCAGCAGTTCCTGCAAGAGGAAGGCATTGATGCTATGGACTGGCCCGCCCGTTCCCCAGACCTGAATCCAACTGAGCACATCTGGTCTCCATGTCTCGCTCCATCCACCAACGCCACGTTGCACCACAGACTGTGCAGGAGTTGGCGGATGCTTTAGTCCAGGTCTGGGAGGAGATCCCACAGGGGACCATTCGCCACATCAGGAGCATGTCCAGGCGTTGTAGGGAGGTCATACAGGCACGTGGAGGCCACACACACTACTGAGCCTCATTTTGACTTAAGGACATTACATCAAAGTTGGATCGGCCTGTAGTGTGGTTTTCCACTTTGATTTAGAGTGCGACTCCAAATCCAGACCTCCATGGGTTGATAAATTTGATTTCTATTGATAATTTGTGATTTTGTTGTCAGGACATTCAACTATGTAAAGAAAGGAGTATTTAATGAGATTATTTCATTCATTCATATCTGGGATGTGTTATTTTAGTGTTCCCTTTATTTTTTTTGAGTAGTGTCAAACTGAAGCAGACAGAATTTTACTCAAATTAAATGTCAAACGTAATTAATCTTAATTTATGCAACTTGAGCCAACAAAAATATTAATTTTAGAAGAATGGAAATTAAACAATCTCCAAGAGGCACAAGCACCTCCATTCATTCAAACTATCACCACTGGGCAGTTTTGTTCAGCAATTTGACTGAGGATGCTTCCACTTCAGATGGACAAAATCCAATATAAAAGACCCATATCTACATACAATTAAGAGCTAGGTACAGCAGTGAGAGAATGCAGGTAATAATAATAATAATAATAATAATAATAATAAAAAGTCAATGGTGAAAGTACATTAAAACATCTCTTAGAAACTAAATATTTAGTGTTAGAACGGGTATGTTCAGCCTTTTTAAACAAAACTTTAAATACACAGAGACCTTACAGAGTCAAACCCTGTGCATTGAACATTCTGACCTCTGACTTATCAGGAGCTGACCCAAAACTAACCAGCCGCCACCACCACCACCACTTTAAGCCTTAAAAATTATAGATGTTGGTTTGCTGCCAAAGCGGCTAGCAGAAAGATTTCTGCTCACTTCTAACATTCATGTCTTTTCCTGAATACAGACACATGAACCAAAACCCCGCAAACAGATGAGATTGTAGGTGGTTGATTACAAGCTAAAGGGGACAGACAAACAATCACAGCCAAAGTTTGACAACATCTGGCTGGTGGGTGGCAGACATTCCCCGACAAGACATTACTACACTGCATTCAAGATTGTTCACTTTGATACATTAAAAGACAGACGACAAAAAATGAGACATGCTAGTCAAAACACATAATGCCCTGGATTTTTATTTCATTTTGTGACAATTCAAGAGGATTCTTAGTCTTTCCGTGTGTGTAGGTCTACAAAAACAAAAACTCATGAATCAACTGGGCCACTGGAATGGGCATTGGGATTGTGGTACAGACAAAGAAAAACTACAAGTAGCCTTGTTCAGTACCAAACTCTTCACAGAAGAGAGCGATTTTTTTTTTTTTAAAGGTTTTTTTTTTCCCAAATGAAGGCACCCGATAACTTGTGGTTCATGGCCTTGCAGCCTTCTGGAGAGTTTTTTAAAAGTAGAGCGATTTTTTTCTTTTCAATTAATACATGTTTCTTCCTTATTATGTAGAAGCTGGAATGATAAATGTCAGTTACTGCATTTTTTTACTCCTATTTTTTTAGATCACAAGTAACAAAAGAATGATGTCTTGAGAGGGGAAAAGTGGATACAAAAATATTAAAGTTAAAAAAATTATACAGGATGTAGGGGCTCATCTTTTACAGAAAACAAAAGTAAATGAGGCCATCTGGGGCAAACCAGAGACCAAAATCATACAAAAGCAGCATCAATCAATTTAAAAAAACAAATTATATAGTGCTTAGATAAGTCAGAAGCTTCCCTTCTGGGAAAAAGTCTTCATCCCCAATGTTTTGTTACTTGTCTCAGGAATAATATATGTATGGAAGAGCTTTGTGGAAACTGATTAACCCACTGACAAACTGATGCCTACAACAAACAAATTCACACCTGTCGCCGTCTTCTACTGCCCTGCGCCTGAATCTGTATGAGTGCATGTCTCCATGGATTCAATATGACACATGGGAACATCATGGAAGAACGCCCACAAAAAAAACAAGCGAGCTCCCGGCCATGTTCACAACATCAAAAAAATGTGTTTTTTAATCTAGCTAAACACTGACTACAGCACGGGGAACCAGTGAGGGGTACAGTTGGGGGGGGGGGGAAAAAAAAAAAAAAAAAAAAAAAAAAAAAAGTAAAAACCAAAAACAAACCCTTTGTAAACACGGCACAATAAATAGATCAAACAGCAGGTTCCGCACCATGCATGTGAGGACATACATTTTTCTGTGGTACAACTTTCACACCTCATACTCGCATCAGTTGCAGTTTGTCGTTTTCTTTTTAATTTTGATTTTTTTTCCTCGAGTGCAAAACATCACAAATGAACAGTTCTGTATTCAAGTAATGTTATATACAAGAACAGGGGGTGGGGAGGGGGTATTACAAATATGCAGTACTGTACATATAATTGCCATATTAAGAATTTACAGACGATCTCTTATTAACAGTAACAAATAGGGAAATGGGGTCAGAGGGGAAAAAGAAGTTGTACGAGACGAGCATTGCAATTAAGTCCCAACAGAGTTACCATGGAAACCCAGCCTTGCCGCGCTCTTTCCACCATCACTTGCTTTCACGACTAACGAACGATGCATAGCACCTAAAAAAAAAAAAAAAAAAAAAAGGACTTGCTTCCCCCCCGTGCTGCAGACGCGAGGCTACGTAACCTCCATGGCCATTGTGTTCTCCGATAGACTGTTCAGTGCTGGCTTGTCTTGTTCATGGTTCTCCCTGAGGACAAAACAAGATGAAAGTAAGAAAAACAGCAAATAGCTGGCATTTAAAATTACTACATTAATGTACTAATCGCCACTGCAGCAACTTAAAGCAGTTATCTGGGTCGTCTCATAACCTGAACTATTAAGAACCTTGTGAGGCTTTGATACAAGGGTCTTGTTTATGTTTGTTGTATTTTACAAACTGGGGGGTTTTGGATATACACGACATTAAAAAAGGACAATTGATCTTGACTTTAAAATTAAGTTCATTCAAACTCAAAAAAGGAACAAGAGCTAGTAATCAAAAAGTAGAAGTACTTCCATCCAAATGAAAACAGCTGTGTGTTTGAGTGCAAGGCTGCAAGTGTTTTGTTTTTTTAAAGATGTGAAATGGAAGCTCTCGCGTCTTATGTGACTAACAGTTGTCACAAAGTCCAAATATACTGTAGTAACTTCTAAAAGACTGTGGATGGGGGATATTTTTCCTGGCTGACCTGGTCCACCCTTTAATGTTCTCACAATGGTTGCATGTTTTTTGCTCACCTGGGCACAATGTCCAGTGGCGAGGCCGAGGCCGTAGTGACCTTGGGTTTCTGACAGTTGGCGGTGGCGGCAGCTGCATGGGCGAGCTTTAAGGCGGATGTTGACATGGTGGCGCTCAGCGTCCGGGGGGCGTGTACACGCTTGCTGGCGGGAACACCCATACGGAGGCTGTTGTTGTTGTTTCCCAGCAGGACCTGAGTGGTGGCGGTGTTAGTGGTGTTGGCAGGGTGGGCGGTGCCGTTGTTGTTACTGGTAGTGGAGGTGGAGCTGCTGGTGGTGCAGAGGTGAAGCGATGTGGGTGTCAGGGTAGTGGTGGGTGGAGCCGGGGCAGCGGGGGAAGGGGACGCTGTGCTTGAGAGGTGCAAGCCCTTGTAGACACCTGAGGGGTGAAAAGATCCCGGGTGATGATAGGGGGGGAGAGGTGGTTGGTGACAGGGGTGGGGAGTTGGGATTTGAAAGGTTTTGATTATCAACTGTTCTTTAAGGGGGGGAAGAAAAAAAAAAAAATCATGTTATCTATATTGGAAACTTGAAGCACTAAATGCAATGTAATATGGGTATTTAAATAAATTTTTTAATGTGTACATGGTAATGCTATATTAAAAATAAGCTGTTGAGAATGTGTGCACAGGTTTAAAGGATGCCATGTTAAACCAGCTCAATGCATACTTTAACTTTAAAACTGCATATTATTAAATATCTACAGTGAGGAAGGTCATTTATGAGCTGCATTTATTCCTTTTCACCAGACTCACAAAAGAGATTAATCATTAGAATACAAATTATTTCACAGTGATTATTTGCCTCCAAGTTTTTCTGTAGTTTTATCTGTAAAGGGCAGATCCTCCGTGCACTGCGTTCATCTGCAGAATTATCTCCAATGGAAATTCCATTGTCAGTTATCTCCTAAATCCTGCAGCTTTTGTTCAATCTGCTTTGCGCTCTTATCTGTTCTTTCTGTATACCCTATTATGAACTGTAATTACTTTACACTCATCGTTTGCTTTGGCTCTTCGGTGTCACAGTATTGCACATTTTGAAGTGCACTTTAAATTGTTTTGTTTCTGTAACTTTGTTGTTGCACTATTTATCGAAATTAATATTTTGGAGGTACAAACAATCAAACTGGGAATTGTTGGCGTATCCTGCCAGTAATGAAACATTCATTACTGTCAGGATATTCAACATTGTGGTTGAGAATAATCAAGATGGTCAATCAAGTTAATCCTTCAGACCAGTGACCACCTCATTGAATAAAATGACTGTGATGCCAGTTTCCTCATATTACATGTGGAGTTTCCACCACGCTGCATAATGAGGTTTTGTCTTATTTACAGAAGACAAAACATTTTCGGCTGTCTTGTCATTGTCTCTTTTTCAAAGTCTACAACCAAGCCTACCAGCAGTTGTCTGGAGGGTTGTCATACCTGAGGGAGAGAGGACGCCATTGACTCCGCCTCCCAGGGCTAAGTCCTCCTTGGTTTTGAGAGCCAGCAGTTGGTCGGCGGTGACTAGGGCTGAAGCGGCGAACTGAGCGCTAGCCTGGTCCAATGTATTGGCCAGGCCCTGTCGGAAGGAGAAGAAAGCTATTTAAGTCAATGATGAGAGGAAAAAAAACAAAAAACACAAAAACTCAGACCATGTTCAGTTTGTGTCTGACAACCTGGACGGACTGTGGGATACTGACATGTGTGCTGTTTGTAGTGGCGGTGCTGTTGGCTTGCTGTTGCTGCTGGATCTGCTCCAGCTGCCGTTTCTGCATCAGGCCCAGCTGCTCCTGATGCTGCTGGTACTGTTCGGCTGTGAAAGCTGAGAGACAAAAGTTTGTTACGAGAGTTCGAAATGGATTTCAAATGCTGCTTTTAACACACTGTTTCTACTAATACCCAAAGCCAAGAAGACACATGCAGACAAATTCACCTCCATAAAATGTTGCTAGATGTAAATGCAGAAACAAAGCATGAGTAGTGTGTGAAGAGAAGCCACAGATGTGCTGAGTCTGAAAAACCTGAACACCTTTCTCAACATTTACAAGATACTCTTAAGTACCAGACTACATGATGGCCTGGTGATGGACAGTTGTGAAAGGAGGCTTGAATGATGAGCACTGAGCCGTTCAGATAGACCAATCACACAGTGTATGCAGCATGCAAGACATGGTCATTAGATGCAGTACAGCTATTTTTGCTAAACTGCTTGACCACGCCTGCTAGCCTCTTGCAATCTTGCAACCCAGTGGCATCAGCTCCACGTAACACTCTGAAGCATCACTGTCCAAACAGAAATCTCAGTGATGCATGAAGCTGTCTGAAACCCATTGTCTTTGCCTTTACTTTTCTCTTGAGGAAATCCCAGTACAATAAAACATGGACATAAATATCTGTTTTCAATTTACTTATGGTGAATGAACCAGCAACTTTTCCAGCACTGCCAACTCAGCAATGCACAACACACACCCACCCAATACTGCCTTCATTGTTAAGGCAGTTGCCAAAAAAACAACAGGGAAACGACACTGAAGTTCACAGACTTCAGCGGCGAGACATTTTCTTCAGCTCGGGAGAACAAGAAAGCTTGTGTGTATGCAAGTTCCTCCGTGGTCTTATTTGCGTCCCAGGTATTTATCCTGTGAATAACATGGTTTTAAGTCTTTCTTTACTGGCTTTCTATTGATTTCAAAGTCTTATTCCCGCATTTCAAGGTATTACGTGGCTTTGTGTCTCATTGAAGTATTGATCTGTTCATTCTCTCCGAGTCTTTCAGTTCTCTACTTCACAGGTTCCACGACTCCTCATCACTCTGCAGTTGGAAGTCACAGCTTGTACTCCATCTGGTACACGCTTCATTCTTGTTTCATGCAATCTGCCTCTGTCTTATTTAATCAAAATACAGTACCCATTAATTCAGCACTGCTTACAATCTACATTTACTGCTGCTCTCTGCAGCCTTAACCGCTACTGTAGTCACTCTGCACAGATGGGTTACTTGAGTTTCTTGCTAAATCTCTTGTTCATTATGTCTATCAGTTTTTCAAGAAGAATTCAGTACGCAGTTGATTTTCCTGCACATCAAAACATACACAACTCCTGTAAACTGCCTGTAGAGACATCAAGACACCAACTGCCTGACTGCCATCCCAGTACCACCACCAGGGATCTGTGGCATTTAGTTTGTATTCAACGCTCCACGCCTGTGTCTACACACCCCATCAAATTGTGCATCTCATGAATTTATTTATCAAACCCAGTTTTAATTGACACCTTGTGGACTGGGTGGGGTGGGAGGAGACGCAATGTGAATGCCAGGCAACAGCTCTATTTGATAAGCAACAAAAGCTGGAAGACAGCAGGAATAGTGTCTGTTTGCAGTCTTTTAATTGGAGGACCAAAGAAAGAATGATCACCACAATCCAGAAAGAAAAAGGGGGAAAAAAGAAAATGTGATAACAAACAGGAAGTAGTCTGACCCGTGCATCCTTTATGTCATGGATGGATAGTTGCTAATTACCTCCATGATCTAGCTTGGCTCTAAAAAGGTCCATTCACCCAGAGTAGTACACTGACACACTAGTTGCTTTTTTATGTGCCCCGGTTTTAACATCTCAATTAAATTTCATTTAAGCTTCTAGTATTCAAGAAATACATTTCAAAAACTCAAAAGAAACTAGTGTTTCCATAATCCACAGACCTTGCAAACAGCTTTCATTGAGACTACATTTTACAGGAAAAACAATCCAAGCGACACTTGATTATCCAGTAATTGGGACACTGGGGGAAAACAAACTTAACTTTTTTTAATTTCATTTTTCAAGGTTTTTCCTCAGCACAAAATTGATTTTCAACCTCCACTGCCAAACAGTTGGCATGTCTAAACACCACTAGGGCTGAGGCAGTCACTGTTTTCTATTTGTAAAATGGGGAAAAATTACTATAAAACAAGCTCATAGGTAGAAGACAAGTGGTGTCAGTGGTGTGTGTGCGCGCATGTGTCCTGTTTTCAGAAATAAATAAGGTCACTCATCAAAGCAGAAATGCCCTGCAACCCCTGGCTACCTAAAGTGCAAAGTTAAGAACAAAAACAGTATCTGACAGAAAGCGTCCATAATGTTTGAAGGCAGCCAATCCACTTACCAGCAATGGGTGCGGGAGCGGGGACAACCCTTACAGGGCGTTGGGAGCCAAAGGGCCGTCCCCCAGCCGTGGAGGCCGAGACTGGGCGCTTCAGGCCTCGACTCAACTTCCTGAATAGCGGGTGGGCATTGTCCAGCTCATGTAGTGGTAGTGTCCGTGGTCTAAAGTGCCTCCATCGACACGACTTTATATTCAACAGTATCTGACTGAGGTCCGTGGAAGAGGGAGAGGAAAGAGAGGAATTGAAGGAGGAGGAACTTCTGTCTGAGGTATTTGTTTCTGAGGTACTGGCAAACTTGTCGGTGGCCGGCGAACGTGAAGTAGTTGTAGGAGGAAGAGGAGACGGGGGAAGAGGCAGGTCAACCATTTCTGGATCCAGTCCGTGGAAAACTTTGTCATAGTCCGTGTGCGCCCTGTCCAGCAACACCCTGCGAGACAAGGAGAAGTTCAGGTCTTGTGCTTGGACACTGGATCAATACAGATAACCAGCCTAATTTGGCTGACATTTTAACAGCTTCTTTCTGGGGATATGTAAAAAGCCTTCTTATAATAAGACTAGTACTTCAACTACTAATTAATCAAGTACTTCCACGTATGTCTTTAAAGAACAAGAGTAAATGAGGAAAGTTGAGCAGTTCTTCCTTCCTTGTTGACAAATACAAGTTGTCTGCAGCTTCAACTATTAGCCATCATTTCCTATGAGATTTAAATTCATACAATATGCTACGTCCAACATACCACTGCACAAGCCATTAAGAAGTTTATAGCATGGGACAAAGTGCTAATATGCTAATCTGACGGAAGTTAACTGACCTGCCGCCTCGTCCCACGCGTCGTCGAGCCATGCCAAGACAGCGCCGCGGCACTGTGAGCGTGGTGAGACTGTAGCGAAAGCGAGCTTCTGCAAAACCGTCCTCCCAGGGTCCACACCATGGCCAGCTACCCACACGATCCTGATGAGCCTGGAAACAGACAGGATGCTGATCGTCACTCGGGGTACACTCACTTAATCTGTGACTTGCTTTACTGACTTAGTAAAGAACTTAGTCCACTGTGTGCTGTGAAATAAAATCACTTGCATGTTGAGATCAACTTAAATCTGTAAACTGAATATTTCACTATGTATTCTCCTGCTAGAAATAACCCTTCTTGTTATAATATAACAACTATGTGGATAATTATTCCTGTTCTAACCAGTGCTTGCAAAGAGCATTTAAAAGCATCTACAACCTCAGGGCACCACTGCTGGGACATCATGCCCCCTTAAACTCACCACAGTATAAAAGTAAAGCTCTGATATGCTTTTTATTTCAACTGGATTACCACAGTACTTACAGCGTAGTACTGGCAGCCTGCCTTCCTGCGAAAGGCATATGCACCGTCTGGGTCGTTCTCCTCCTCTGCTTCTGATGAGCCCGAGTGCAGCTGTGGACACAGATGTTAGAGGTCAGACAAAGGTCACTGGAAGAGCAGAATTTGTAACACTGAAGCCACAAGGCTTAAATACATTAACCAACCACTCGCCTCATGTGGTTTTGCAGATTTGAGTGGGTTTATCAGCACAAAGGGCAGAGTGCAGTGACAGAGGTCAAACTGTTCAGCAAGGTTTTTTAGCTTGGTAGTCAACAAGTTATTTCAGGACATAGTAGCGCTTGCCACTTTGTTAGAAGCATCATTTCATAATCATGTTTCTAGAAATAATGAAAAGGGCAATACACACAAAAAAAATCAAAATATGTACAACAATAAATATTACCCAGAGAATTTACTTGAAGAGCAAACATGTGCAAATGATAGTGTGTGTGAGATTAGCGGTCTTGTTTGCTCTGCATAGTGTGCTTGGCTTTGTAAGAATGTACCTGGGAGAAGGGCTCGTCATCTGAGCTGGGGAAGTCGTACTGGTTCAGGTCCTTGGCATTGAACACGACAGGACCTGGATGGTGTGGGGTGCCTGACGACAGTGGCAACACCTTCTGCTTCTTCTCATACTTCCTCTTCTGACGGGGAACTTCGGTCTTCTCAGGCTAAAGGAGAAAAAAAAAAAAAAAAAAAAAAAAAAAGGGTTAGACTTCACAGCACCTTAAAAAAAACAAACACATTTAGAGACAAACTACAGCAGTTTTTAACCTTGTACACAGCCCTCTTAAAATATTTTTATTCTCAAGTTAGTCTGTAAATGTGACTGGTAATGTTACACATTTAATGTTTTTCTAACCAAACTTTTAACACTTTCTCCAAATTATCCAGTCCAGTGTCAGAATCCTGTTCTTAACAGTGAACCTCACCTTGGACTTGTAGTCCTTGAGGTCCATGTGGTCCTGGTGTCGGTACTGGTTGGTGAGAGGGACCAGGGGAATGATCTGCGGCCTCACCAGCGCCCGCTCAGCCAACACCTCTGCCATCACCTCACCACCGTAGTCTGACATGACGTTTCTGGAGCAGAGACGGGAGAAAGGATTAGCCTGAAAGACTTTCTTTTGCATTTTTGTTACCTTTTAACATCAATTAAATTTTTGGTCAGAACAGTTCCAAACCGCACAGCAGTACTAGGCTTTAACTATTCTTTTATGTCAGTTTTATACTCCGAGCAGTCACTCCCACATTTTCTTTTTTAATGTCGCCACCCTGTCAACGTTTCATTTCTGTATCAATGCATTGTGGGCGCAGCCCCGAAGGCAGGCTCACCTCTTCTCAAAGATCTCCAGTGTGAGGTGCAGCAGCTCTCTCTTGCTTTTCTCCCGCCTCTTGATCATTTCCAGGATGGTGACAGCTCGGCTGAGATCCCTGCGTAGCTTCAGCATCTTCTCATAGGACGCCTCGTCATTCTTACGGTTCTGAGTTTTGAAAGACGGAACAGGTTTAGGCAATACTCAACAAAATAAAAAATTATTAGAATTTACATATTTATATATGCGCTAAACATTTACAAAATAGTTTGGATAAACACAAACAGGTTCCTACGATCGAGTAAACATCAAGGCCAAATTCTTCATGTGATCACTTGGTGGCATATACATCCTTTACAAGCAGGTTGAAACTACTGTTTCATGGAGTCAGTGTTTGCCCTGTGTTCAGAGTACTGCCACTAATTAAAAATAGTTACTTTAAAGAGGTGCATGGTTTCTCAGACTACTGGGTCACTTTGGTAGGTTGGAGCAGGGGTGGAAATTAACACCCGCCAAGTTCGTTAACACAGGGATTAGGGACATTCATTGGTTGTTTATATACATTTCGTGTTTGACTGGCGTAGATATGTAAGGGGGTGGGCATTGGGGGATTGGAGTTGGGAGCTGTCAAGCCGTGCTCTAAGGACCTGGATTGTTTTAAGCATTTAGCTAGCTAGCTACCACTGTAACGTGCATACCGATCAACCCTCCCGTTTCCCCTGGCTTCTCCCATATTTTACCCTTCTCTCCCCGTATCTCTCCCCTTTATTTAAACCCGCTGTTTGCTACGTTCCCCTCTGGTAAAGCCAGTGGCAGCATGTAGAACAGCTCTGCAAAAATGAGGCTGAAGCAGAACATGAAAAAAAACAAAATAATGAGGTTTAAGTTGAATGATTGATTAATAAGCATCTTGTAAGTTTATAAAACAATTTACCGTTATGTCTTAATTACATTTAATAGCAATAAATTAAGTTTGTGCCAATTTTTTTATCTGGTATCTTTTTTTTTTCGACATAATTCCTTATTTTCAAAGTGCTGAAACAATTTTTTACTTGACATAAATTTTGGCCGGTAAAAATATATGTTTGGGCAGTGGATTTTTTCATCTACCAGTCCCACTGGCAGGTGAACCAAAGTGTTTATTTCCAACCCTGGTTGGGACGGTGCTTTTATCTGACTTTATCCATCATGGTATGCTAACAGTCTTGGGCGTGATGTTTTGGTTGTGTATGTATTCAAATACCTCTGATGGGAACTTCAGTCCCTTTCCAAATAATCTGTAAGCTAATTTACTTTAAAAAAAAAAAAAATCAATCACAATTTCATAGAGAAGCTTGGCTTGCTTAGCAGACAAATACAAAACTGAAAAGCACATGCCCTTGAATTCATTCTGCTGGCAACACCTGTACTGACTGACAGACACAAAGCTAAGGCATTATACTCTCCAAGTGACGTAAGATGACGTTCATCGAATGTGGTTGCGATGCCTGACAGCATTCTTTCAGGGTCAGGTATTAAGATTCATATCGATCTACATCACAGATTAGAGCAAGTAGTCTTTTCAATGCAGAAAACTGGATCAAAACACAGTGAAGCTGTGAAATCATAGTGTGAAAATGTTTTCCTGTGAGGTGTAAACCAATTCTTTGTCCCAATTCAAAAACAAAACACCAACACAAAGATCTGGTATGAACTGCCACGAGTATGTAAAGACTACGGACCTTCCTGGTTTGCATCTTCTCTGTGCGCCGTCGGAAGGCCACATAGGGGTCACTGGTACTGGAGCCGTCCCGCTTCTCCTGCTTGACGGTGGGGATGAGAGAGTTGGCCTTGCTGTTTTTCCTCTTGCGGCTCCAGTAGTCAAAGACCTCCTTGATGAGCTCATCATCCTCCTTCAGCAACAGTTTGGCTTCCGGAAGGCTCACCAGCTAAGAAATGCAGACCGGAGTTACATTTTGATAATTAAGATGCATTTACACGGAGGTGAGGGAGACGAAACTGGTGCCACAGGCTTTTATACTGAGGCTGTTTTACCATTAGATGATGTCAAATTAGGTATCAGTGTTTTTCAGAAGCTCACTGTGCATTAGTCTAAGGCATTTCATAGGGCTTTCTTTACAGCTGGCTGTGTTTCGGGGCAGATGGAGACACAAATGGTGCTGACCTGCTGTCCACTGCCTTTCTCCAGCCGGTCAATCATCTCCTCAAACTGCAGAAAGCTGATCTCCATCTTCTTCTTCAGCTTGTTGACAAATGCATCATCTTCCGAGTCCAGATCGTAGTCGGGCTGCTCTGTGTCCAAGCTGAAAGCTGCAGGGAGGTCGAGAAACAGGAAATAGACTTTAGACATGGATAGATGGGCAAATACTAAAACTAAAAAAAAAAAACTAAAATAGGTTGTACAGGTCAAGTTGTGGACCATATTAGCACATTTCTTTAAGCTTAATTCTTCAGTCTGTGTGGCTTTTAAAAAAAACCAAACAAGTTGTACATGTTCATGTCCTCCTTGTCACTCTTTTGTAATCCCCATATTGAGAAGCATTTGCTGCAACTGCTTGCTCTTGCTTGTGGGGGAAGGTAAATTTTTGTCATAACACGGATGCATTCAAGTGCTTTTTTGGAATTTGACACAGATGACCTCACTACACTGACAGCAAACTGAGCGGTCAAAGTTAAAATTCAGTTTAATAGATTACTATTGTTACTGATTGAAGGCACTGCATGCAGCATTACAAAACATTATCTAGCCAGTTTCCAGCTCAGTTTACTTAGCGTCACTGCTGAACAATCACTGAAATACCAGATGCAGACTTTTTATGAACCTTATCTTTAATGTTGGAGATGCATCATAACACACCAAAAATCACTTCTCAAACAAATTACAGACAGACGGGTGGGTATAATTTCTGCGTGCAGGCCATAGTGGCTAACAAATCCCTGGTTTTGTTTCAGAAACATACGGATGGTTGCTTGGCTGTCATGACTGTCAAGGCCACTCTATACCTCAAATGCATTTTAAAAGTCTTTCAGTATACATTTAGTGTCAGTTTGTGTTTACTGCTCAGTCACACAGCCAATGTACGAAGAGATGTTTACAGTACATCTTCTACTCCATAACACAGAAGAAGCAAGGTTGCCACCTACACTGTCCATATTTAGGATTATCATTTAATGACAGTATTTCAGCTGTGCTACATACCTCTTATCAGACACATAAAAACATTCGTCCTACACTATGAAATAAAAACAAGCCTAAAATTATTCACCCTTAGACTGATGACATATTGACCAAACTGCAGTACTACTACGCACAATGACACACCGACAAACTTTGAATATATGTATTTCAAAAAGCTTTCTGTGCTGTCCAGTCGGTCAACACTACTGCTCCCTTTGCGTGGAACTAGTGATTGGAGCATTTTGAACATATTAAAAATAGAACGTGCCTGTGTCTGCAGACACACAACCTTAACCAGACCTAAAACAAAAGCAGCAGCTGTATGAATAAGTGACCGTTGAGAAAACATATCCAGTCATTGTTACAGACTCTAAAAATACAGTGGCGACCGAGCCTCCTTTCTGCAGAAGATATAATATTCATTAAACTACACAGGACTAATGGCCCGCAGTTAAGTGGAATAAATAAGTGCTTTAGGAGTACAGTCCACCCCAGTTATGGACACACTGGATAATTATCAGGTGTAATTACACCAGATTTGCCTTTTCAGACTGAAAACTTAAGGACTTACCAGACAGTATAGAATATCCGACAGTCACATCTAACCCAGTACATCACAGACTGACCAAACACTTTATCAGAGAATGTAATGTTGTCTGCATTTGTGTGTGTGTATATGAAAGCTAAATAATGGGCACTGAATACTTCTGCAGGTCAAAAGATAGATCAGAATAATTTTAGCTGAAGCATAAAATGTGACTCTTCGCCCTTTCCTAATGGTCTAGTGTAGCGCATGTTCCTGTTGCAAAAAATACCAAATGCTATCCACTCACTTTGGTTTTCGCTTTATTAAGTCATCTAGTTTGTCTTAACCCTCAGTGACCGGTGAGTCATGTTAAACCACGTCAGGCTAATTCAAATAAACTCATTTCCTTTCTGATTCTCAACATTCACCTCTAAACTCCCAGCCAGCAGTATTTTTTTTTAATTCAGCAGTGTCTCACAGCAATGTTGCCACAAACAAATAACCAGGCTTCCATCATGCATAGCTACTGTACTTACCCAAGTCTAGATTAAATTAAAGAAAAACCGCTTGCATATTGAGCTGCCATCAAGGCAAATAGGCACGGCAGATGGAATATATTGTTACTGACAAGACTAAAAACAGCAATCTCTGTCACCAGGGCAACTACAGTGTCTCCTCTATATGCATTCAGGAATGGCGGTGTGCCGCTGCTGAATCACGACCGCCACTACAAAAGTTTCCCACGATCATTAAACTATGCGCTACAAATGTTTTCACTCGCTCACTGTGCGAGCACGGCAACACTCAATGCTCGGCTCGCTTCCTCTCCTCGTTCTATGCAGAACATACTTGACAGATGGTGTTATAAGAGCAGCGTAACTCTGAATCAGGAGGTGCGTAGCGAGTGTTTGATTGTCAGAGGGGCAGAAAGTGACGGTGAACGCGAGCGGAGGAAAATATTCTGGCAGTAAATGTACGGTGTCTGTTACAGTGTGTTAGCTTCTCAAGACCAAGAAAAGTCTGTTGTTTCCCACCTACTGGAAAAGTGAAGCCAACTTCTCCAGCAGCTACATAGCTGCTATGTAACTTACCATTAGCTCAATCTATAGAAAGTAACTGGAGGCTGTATTTTATAACTGCCAACTTGTCCAATGTTGAGAACATCAGGTACAAACTTAGACTAAACTGACGTAGCCTGCAGCTCTGTCCTGTACAGACTGATTCAATTACTTTTCAGTTTTCAGTCTGAAAAAGTGGTTTTGGAAAAGAAAGGACGGAGGTGACCAGAGGAGCTGAGGTTAGTAAAGCTTATTAGTGATGCAAACTAGTCCTCCTCAGAAGGGAGGAGGTTTCTCATGTTGCCCATTTTTCATATTAATGTCTACAGATAAATGACAGAAGCTGTAAAATGAAGACACAGAAGACAAACATGAACAGTCGTACCTATAATGATTCTGAGGTCATATTAACAGGGCTTTCCTGCCGTTAAGGCTTAGGGCAGATGCCCAAAACATGCTGTGCCATCACTGTAAAATCACTGTGGAGCAACAGAACCAACCAAATTACTTTCTCCAGATGTAAAGGTTGGAGTTCCTCCAGTAGACTGATCTTTGGCTGTTTATTATTTGCTCTAGCTTTTCCAACTATTTGTTCAGAGATATGGTGAAAATAATGGCCCAATATGATGTGAAATGACATATTTTTCATTGGAAAACATAACATTTTCTTGGGGGAGCATCCCCAAACCCCCCGACCAACACCAAAACATTCATCTAAAGCTCACATTAAACTAGGAAAACTGCAGTTTTAAGCTATTCTAATGTGCATCGCATGCTCATGGACACAAGAGCAATGATGCTGAGACATGTTGTGTTGGGGTTTTATATTCAGACAAAAAAAAGGAGGTGGGGGGGAGGGGGTGCTGTTTGTCCTGCACCCACTGCTGAAAAAAATCCTAGAGGAAACACTGAACTATATAAGATTTTGACTAGTTTTCCTATTTTTAGAGACTCGTTTCCTCACAGGATTTACAGCACATCAACGGCCACCTTATAAAATGCCAGTACATGCACAGTGGCATAAAATGCCTACTCACAACTAGACAGACAAATACAGTTTTAGATATTTTGGTACCAACTAAACTTTCCAGAAGTGGAAATGATCAATTCTGAATTCCCTACATTTCAAACTGTCTCTACCTCTCAGGAAACCCTGAAAAAAAAGAGCAATTTGACTGGGAAAAACAGTCATTTCAATTTTCAACTGATAACAGTGTCTGTTTAGGGTACAGCAAATTGCTTTCCTTTGAGAAACAATCACGACAACCACTTGTGACAGGGACATGGTTACTGAACTGAGCAATCTAACAAACACATTTTCTTTGATATCATTACTGAACTTGGCAGTCTCGCCAACTCATCTACCTTGACAAACATGACAACTCAGTAAAAGTTCACGAAATACATGCCTGATGCCATTGTACAGATGACTAGCTGTCGCAATCAAAAGACCTCCTTTACTACCTTGTGAATCACTGAACAGACTCGCCATTTTAGTCTTTATGCATCCACCTTCATAAATCCTGATTGACCGTTTCACTTTTAATGCCACATGGGTTTGAATGTCATTTCAGGTTGCTCGTTATAGCTGTATAGTCAAAAAGCTAATGTAATGAAATGTTATAGGTCTAAAGTGATGTTTAAAAATTAAAAGTCTCAAAACTTATAATTCTGATAAACAGCCCTCAAGTGTATAATGCATTCAAAATAATTGAGGGGAACACTATTAAACCTAATGGAACATCTGAGGTCCCTAATCTGCTACATCAAACTCATTTTCTCCGCTTACTGCATCCCATATTTGCCATTAGAGAAGCCCACTTACGCTGTATGTGAATTAGCTGCTTTGGCATCTTGAACTCCCCAGGGTAGAGGGATTCGTAGTATGTGATGTTGCTTTCTGCCTCGGGGACCGGGATGACCATGTTGTCCCGCTTCTCGCCATAAACCTGCTGTGCTGAGATGGCCCGCTGGAGATGGTGTTCCTACAGAGACACAGATGAAGGTGAGACAACTGGACCGCTGAGGACGGATGTGTTCTTACTAGAGATTATGCACGATCTATGGCTAAAAACCATTCAAACAAAACGACTGCTATGAAGCTAGCACACTGGATAAATCAACTGGTGGCACACAGTTGAAAAACTATTTTAAAACTAAATCTGGGACCAATATGAAGGTGATAAAAAGTTTTGAACCACTGTGATAGGGTATGGGCTTCTCCAGCTTAGTTCATTCAGACACTTTGTACCAAAGAATTGACCATTTATAGAAAATACTTTTACAGTTACTTTTCAGGAAATACTCTTTAAAAGCAAGCTTTCAAAACAATCCAAGCAGAAAAAAGCAGCGCAAGTCTACTAATATTAGCTTATTGTAGATTATATCTCAGTGTATGTGTCGACCAATAAGTCTGCAGTACAGAAATGCAAAAGTAGGTGTGAGGTCATGTTGAAACAGGGTTCCCATTACATAGCTTGTCCACTACAGAGCACTAACAAGTTTACTTTTCAACTACACTGTGCTACCTAGTATGCCTCTTGGTCATAACAAAAAGGGTACAAAGTTGTCCCAAATATCAATGGCCGCTTTAAAAATCTGGATGTCATGCTGTAGACCTGCAAAGATATGATTGATATGATCACTAGTCTGCTAAAAGCAACACCTCTGAATGAGCCAGTGATTCTTTAAAAGCTAATGCCAATCATCTAATGCAAGCGTGAAGGAACACTAAGCTCTATTAATCAATGTGCTACAGCAGTTTAATTTAGTTAAAACTGACAGATTTATAGAACCATTTATAGCAAACACAAAATTACAAGTTTCTCAGCATTAAGTTTGACATCACATGGTAATACTGAACAGCCTCGGCCCGTTCAAAAGCAAAAGCTGAATCTTCACATAGGACTGCAAAACACAAAACAATCCAAATAAATTGTTCAAACAGTTCACAAACTTAAGACCAGACTGTAAAGCAATTGTTACACAGACAAACATTGCCCTACTGAAACATAATATCAAGCCTGGTAAACTTTATCAAAGGGGGGTGGGGAGTAACAAACTGACTCATGTCGATACCAGCCAAATATCCACCTATCGTGCACACTGAGTTGCAGGAAGAAACTCGTGATTATCCAGTTACACAGTAGGCAACATTTGGTTTCTGCACAACATATTGAAAAACCCCCTGTATCACAAACAGGACTACTGGGTGGAACAGAACCATATTTAAAACATTTCATGCTAAAATCTACACTGCCATATGAGTTTTAAATATTGAATCTTCAGGTTGCATTAAAATATATGCATTTATAAATCTCTTTCTTTATATATGTGAACACTACCACCATTTTCATGCTCATTGCAGATTAACAAATGGGGCCTACAATGATGTGAAGCAGCTGGATGGAAACAAATTTGAACCTGCCTTCCAATCACTTCATCTCAAGAGCGCAAATACAGAGGACAACCCGACACTGTTTTTGTCTCCAGCATCAATTGGCCTTATCTACCCGCCACAAGTGTGAGGAGTGCCTGCCGCTGCCAAGCCTGCTGAGGGGTAATGTGCCGGAAGGAAGGCAGACAGGCTGGATAGCTGACTAACGGGTTTGCTGGCGGGCTGCTTGTCTGAACCGTCCCAGTCAGCCTTAGTAGTAGAGCCTTTGGCCCAGAGCTGGGCAGTCAGCCACTGGCAGGCAGTCTGTCAACAAGGCAGCGTGCCGCCGGCCTCGTACAGCAGCTCTCTGGAGAGAAGGTGTGTGTTTGTTTTCCCTACGGCTGTCAGAGACACAAGGGTAGCAGGGAGGGTACAGGGAGTGAATATCTGTGCCTGGGGATGGTAGGCAGAGTGAGTGAATAAGTCAAAAAGAAAGTATGTGTGCGTGTGCACACTTTGATAAATAAGTGTGACACCATTTGAGTACAACTGGTCTGTTATGGTTGCATTTTTCTATGAAAAGCAACCGACTTTGCTTACTGCCAAAACATGGCATAGTCACTGTGTGTAACATACAAACACTGAGATATACTACAGAAGCAAGTATTGTAGCGCTTCAGTCAGATTCAGCTTTATGCAGTGGAGGTTCTCAGAGGGACATCAGTCTGGATTTGACTGTAAACTTTACTAGGTTTGCCATGTTCCCAAGGCTGATACACCTTATGCTGTTCCTGCAGTAAACTCAATTCTGCAACTGACACTTAAGTCTCTGCTTCTTATTCACAGGTAATGTGAAGATATATAGCGGTTATACTGCAAGCCCTCCTGGCTATGTCTGTATCTCAAATGAAAGCATCTGTCCAACATACATACACGGCCAATCCCAGTGTGCAATTGGCCAGTTTTTTTAAGTTATTTTTATAAATGACTTGTAGCAGTGCTTCGCATTGGTTGAGGATTTATTTGTGGTGGTCACATGGCTGCATCAAGATTTAGGTAAGGTTGGACAAAATATTTCACAGTATGTGCAATCTAATATATCATAATAAAGAAAGTACTGAGGAATTTCAATTGACAAACCGTATATAGATAAAACATCCACAAGGGAATGTTAGTTTTTGGCTAATCCAGTAAATTAAACCTCTGAAAAATGTCAAACATGCTGTAATCAGAATTGCACGCAAAGATCTCTGTATAAATGATAATCTGAGGCTGTCGCACGTCCGTCAGAGAGGTTATATATATATTTAAAAAAAATCCTATGAACTTATTCACAAGCTACATACTGTGCATCAATGCATATTTTCCACCAATCAATCTCTACTTACAGCTGTAATTCCATGTAGGTGTTGAAAGAGAAATACTTGAAAGGGTCACCCGTTTAACTAGTGGATGGTATTAATCTTTCCAAAACTTTCAGGTACCCATGTATTACCAAGATTTTTATACTTACTTTATTGCATTATACTTCAAAGCCTACTTTTACAGCACTATAGTAGCACTGTATACTGAGGAATATTATTTAACTGCAACTTCTGAACATTAAACAGTAGTTTGGTGTGGGTCTGGTAGTGTGTGGGATTCGACTGAGCAGCCCCAATACATCAAAGAATTTAATACTTTTATATATAAGCTGGTTATGTAGGTAATTTTTGCAGCTCAGTGCTCAATAACAGCTGGATTTTGTTTTATTGTAAGCTTCCCTGGTACCGCATGATAGCCAGAGGGAAAAGGTGACTGTGACCCAGGTGACCCATGAGTACAGGAACATAAGGACGGCAAACTGCTTTCACTGGTTAAAAATCAGCTAAAGTGTGCATTGCCTCGGAAAAATATCCAGAAAAAAGTGAAGTTGATCATTGCTGAACATGGATCAATTTGTGCATTTACAAAAATGAAACGGCACAAACGGGCAAGCCTTTCAAATGCAACAAGATTTTTCTTGACACTTTCACTGAGACTTTATTTTTATTGATTGAGACAGCGTATCACAATTACCAATTCACAATCTTCAAATCACAACTAGCTAAATTAATTGGAGGTCACCAATTATTTCATTGTCAAAAAAATAAAACTATATAAAAGGGAGGTTACCTTCTAAAAAGGCAGAAAGTAAACTTTATATACTTTCAGTATACCATCATGTTGTTTGTAGTCATCTAACATTTTCAATTTATTTTATGGTGTCCCAAAGCACTGTGTTCATCAACACCATTTGGACTTTTGGGGCTAACGATTTTCTACCGTCTGTTTTACCCGAGGGGCAAGTGATTGTATTTTACATTTATAGCTCCGGTGATCTGTTCAGAGGATGTGGCTACTCGCTTAGCTGGAGAAGCTGCTGTGGACAGGCCTTTCAGTGTTATTCTTCCCTTAGGCGTTTGCATACAGAACCCAAAACTCTTGCACATTCAACCCAGCATTTGCTTTGACCCCCTCTGTGCATGTACGCTTGCATAACCTTCGTGTCCCTATCTGATTCCCACTGAATAATTCCCCCGGCGGACGCCTAAACCTCCGCATCTACTTCCTCGGGCCTCTCCACAATGAGGGAAAAACTCATAAAATCAAAACGGCCTTGAGCAATAACACGTTGGCTGCCAAACCTAATCAAGCAACATGTTTGTTTACTTTCCCGGCCTTGGCTATTTGCCTGAGAATAAATAAGACTTAGATTGAGGTGAACAGTCAGAATACAGAGCATTGGCTGGTGCCCTCACACACATGCACAATTTTTCCTCTCGGTCTTGCTTTCTCACACATGAACATAGGAGTCCAGAAATAGCCTTCTAAAATGACCACATCGATCACTGTCAAGTCTGCTAAGGCAGCCAGAGCCTCCTCCACCTACACCAGTCTCGCCTCTGACAGCTACTGTCCCAGACACTGTAAACGCCACTTAACATGATGGACAACCGCAGGGGATGGTCGGGTAGGGCTGTCGAGGGATGCATAGCATAGCAGTAGAAAGTAGTTTCATGCACTGTGTGGGAGAGGATGATTTTTAACACCCAGCGTAAGTGGAGTGGGAAATTAACAGAAGCCATCAAACTGCACTTTTGGCCGTGGCTGGTAAATTCCCGACAGTTTTGAAAAGTAAGTTACATGAATTGAGAAACTTTCCATTCCTCAAGTTAATATGGCTGTTAAAAAAAAAGTCAGACAGAAGCAGTTACTACAAGGAAAAATATGTTTTTCTAACTTGAGCGTAGGCCCACTGTTGCATAATAATGCAGGGAAAACAATTAATCACAAACAAGGAATGCACATCTTCCATCCATCCATCCATGTGTCTGAGAGGAAAATTCTTGAATCCATCGTTTATTTTCAGGACTTGTTCCAGCTGAGGCTCAAGTACTAAGAAAACTTGCAGGCGATTTAGATTTCAGAAACCTGCCTGGTGTTAATTCCCCACGCTGCCCACATACGCGTCACTACGAAACTGTTAACAGTGAAAGAAAAAGAGGGAAACAGCTGACAAAGGCAACTTTCAATTTTACAGCATGTAGGCTGCAGAGACTTTGGACAGGTGACATGCCCCACATTCCCACCCAGCAAGGTCACACAGTGACAAACTGCCAGAATGAGTGTCTGTCAGTGTGTGTGTGTATACAAGAACTGCGTCTGGCAAAGATGCAAACACAACAGATGCCTGTGGGGTCCCACCAGGGCTGCAGACACTGACCTCACTTTCACCCAAACGTAAATACAAGACAAAGTGTCTGGCCCCAAAACAAACACGCCGCACGTGCTGAGGGAGTTTCAGCGATTACGACTCTTCAGTGGAGCCAGGCTACATACACACCGCCTCTAAATTACAAGACCACATGCTGGACTGAGCAATGATTTTTGATAGGCAAGTCCAGCAGCAACTGAGACGGAAAGATTGTAGTCCTGTGCTCGCCAAATTGTTCAATCGAGCAGTGCCAAATGTAGCATAAAGAAAGGACTACGCCTACAAGTTGCTCTGTGGTCTAAGTTCAACAGCTCACTGTAAAAAGCTCTCTATGAACATAGAGTCAGGAAGTGCACAGACACCACTCAACGACCAGTGGTTTGCAGGGTGAGTGTGTGGGTAGTCAGTGTGGTTGGGGTGTTGGCAGGCTCACTGTGTCAAGCATATCTCCAGACACGCCAGGAACTATTCACTGTGTACATCAGAGACTGAAGAATCACGAGTGCAATTCCCATAGGAGACCCATAAAATATTTTTTTTAAAATAAATAAATAAAAACACACACTTGCAGTACAATAAAAACACCACCATACCTTATGTGCTGACAGATTCATAAAGAGCATGAGCTATAGTATCTACAAACAATGATTCAAAGCATGTTCCAATGCAACAGCTCCAAACACTGAGCGGTTGGGCATGCAGCAGGACTTGGCCTTCCTCTTATGATAATATGACTCTTACATAACCAGGCACTCCAGCTGAGCAGGGCACAGACTTGGAAGTGACAGCGACCCCCCCCTCATGCTGCCCTGATCTCCTCGAGCGCCACGTGCCGCTGGTCCGCCAGCCTGCTGAGCCATCTGACACACTGAACCCCTGACATGGAGCCTCCACAAGAACAGGCAGCCAGACTGGCCGCTACATACTTCCATTGAAGGATAACGGTATCCCAGCAAGGACGCCTGTAGTGATAGCCCCCGTTTACTTGGCACTTATATATGTCAACACCAGTCAAGACTGTTGTGTCAGCTGCAATTTAACAATACTCTTTGAGTAACTGATATTGTGCTTGGGGGAACCAGGTTGTTGGAATGGAAGCACAAACAGTAAAATCGCCATGGGCTGCATCTAGTTTATAAACGGCCCCCTACATCCTACAGATCACCCTGCTGTGGGAGGCAGCACAACCAGGAGCATAGAGCAGACTTTTTTATCTACCTGTCTCAGTGGCTTGTGTGCATCCCTGAACCTCACCTGATAGTATAACTCTCTTTCCACCTAAACTGTTAGGATACTTCCACCAAAGGTTAGGCAAGTGTAGCAAAATCGCTAGTAGAGCTCTTCAAATGTTTCATCCCCCAAAAAAAACCAAAAAAAAACAACAAGCACTGGAGAATTTGGTTTGTGGGGGGGATTTAATGTTCTTATCTGGAAAATCAAATGTCAACACAAACTGTAGAGATTAGAGATGGTTACTACTGTGACAACAGCTATCCTGATAAATCCACCACATCTCCAGAGCAAGTATTAAGAGAAATACAGCCAGGTTAGACTTAAATATACATCTCACAGCTACACAGGCAGGATTAACCAGTGCAATTACTGTTCGAACAATGGGTTTTAGTTGTTGCTGTATGCCAACAGCTGCATTATAATTAATATATACACACACCCACCCACCAAACACGAAGGGCTGGATCATTTGTAGACAATTTCATGACATGACAATGTGCAAATATCGCCAACTGTACCCAAATCTGCACTAAAGCAAATGATGTGAGCAAACACACACTCCATCCTGTTCAACATGACCCATACCGAGATTTTCCTCAATGCAAGGCAGCCGTGTTGACATTTCTGCCTTGTGGGAGCGCAGATGCCACATAGAATCTGAAATCACTAGCTCCCCCTTGCCCTGGTCCTTTGCAATTACGCCAACACAAGGCCCCATCCTGACAGACAAGACAAAATGTCGGAACTGCTGAAGTCACATGACTCCTTTGTACTCAGAAAATCGCCTCACGCACAAATAAGCCGGCCAAATTGGGTAATTTTACCCTACAACGACACAGTGCATCCCCGCTTCCCCCAAACATTCGTTTAAGTCCCACATATATGCAATTTGCAACAGAAATCCGTCGTGTTTCTCTTGAGAAAATCGGCGGCCATTTTGTGAAAGCTTGCGCAGAAAAAAAGAGGGACGCTTGTGATCATTTAAAAATAAACCAAAGCATATATTTTGACATTTTCGGACGGTTAAAGCATACCGATTCCTCTTCTTTCTCCATCCCCGTAGGCATCTGCGGCACGGCCCGGTTAATGGATGCATATTCGTGTAGGTCGGGTAAATCCTCACAACGGAAGACGGGTAGTGGCTTGGAAGCGTCCAGCGCCCGTGCCCGAAACGACAATTTACTCATTTTTCACAATTCGAGATGCAATATAAATCTATCGGATCTCCTAATATTCACAACGGTAGCGAGTGGAGCTTTCATGGATGTTTCTGTGCGGTTATTATCTATTCTAACGTTCGAATGGTTGTAGCTTGTATTTAGGGCGTCGCCAACGGAGCCGGGGGAAGGCCCGGATCTTGGTCGCTCTCTCTCGGACTGTTTTTTTCCGACGCTCCGCTCCCTATCGTTGGTTCAGTGCGCCATGGACAACATGGCGGACATTTAAAACTCTTTTGCTCTGTTTCGCTCGGAGCGGTCCAACCCCCAGTTCGCGGACCGACCATTCCCACACGATCCCGAGCGCTTGCGCGTTGCGGGGGTGGGGGGAAGGGGGCATTTCTTGCAAACTAACTCCTCTCCACACACGCACATAAATTATTGAAATAAACATTAGGCTTGGCCGAGATATATATTGCGAAATTTAAATGACAAAATATTGGATTATATATTAATCAAACATCTAAATTAAATACAATATAAATAAAAATAAAAAGGGAAAATGGACTCAAGACTTAAAAACAAAATAGATAAAATCTATTTATAAATGAAGAAAATTGGTGTGCAACAATAAAGAAAGTTATAATTGATGGCAGGAAATTTTCCAGCAGTGATTAAGGCATTACTTATTGAAAATATACCTTGTCAATTTACAACTGACTGTGCAGTCCATATTTGAATATTAAAAACAGATTACATCATATGCAAATTTGTTTTTAATCAGACCTCTCAAATAATGAGACATTGTCCAAGTTTATTCTGTTGTATAACTTTTTATTTTTAATTATGCATTGTTTATAGTAAAAGGATTTGTTAAAACTTCTTAAATGCCTTAAACAATTCCCTCAAAACTCTGTGTGCTCTGATTTGTGTGTGTGAGAATTCTATTCTCACTTTTGGTTAAAAAAAAAAAAATAATACTATACTCTGAATGTTTCTTTTATGTAACTGGTTTTATGCGCTGGTGTAAAACCAGAGGAACAAAATCTTCAGTATGTTTTAAATACAGAGTTCGCATTATCCACAACAGGACAACGCCCAAAATACCACAAAAGTAACTGTTCCTGCTAACTGATGATGAAAAGATGTTAGATCCACGGAACCTTATCAGTGCTGAGCATAGAACAACACACAAGTGTTTACTCCAGGTGAAAGGCTTCTTGGCAGCATGTTTACCACGTGAACAATGTCGCCCTCTTTTGGTCCAACAGGCAAATTATCTGACTTTCCGACAACATGGATGTTTGAATGCACTACAAAGATACACTGCACACAGCATTTGCTGAATATTTGTAGCCAAAACACTGTGCAGCTCTATCAGTGTATATATTATTCAGCTGGACTGAGTGGGAGTACCCTGCTTATCTCACTGAACTGTAAGATCCAACGGTTTAGTGCTTCCAGGGGGCTTTGAGATTAGGTTTCGCCATGAACCCAGTGTTAAAAAAGGTCAGAATAAAATCATTAAAAACTCCTTACCTGTTGATGACATTGGTTTTAGCCAGGGTCCACCCAGGGGAACCGAGGATGTCTATTCATCATTAAATCCAGTGACTGCATCACGAGGACCTGAGAGCCAATTGACAAGAGCAACATGGGCATTTAGCCAAAACTCACAGAGGGAGCCCAAAGCTTGAAAAAGAAAGACATTATTACAGCTCGGGTATAGCGAAAAATAAAACCAATTGGCATGAAAGTCAGATAAAGAAACTCAATTAAGATGTTTGCCTTGTTAATTAAAAATAGGTTTAGGAGAGGGTTTTCTGGGCGGAGCAAAGGCAAAACATTTGTCCACCAGCTGATTATAATTGGCAGCCGTGGTGCCCGGTCCTGCCCTCCAACGACCACACCTGGCTGCGCTCGTGGGCATCGCCAAAAGGGACTCGTGCATAAATAAAATTCTAATAAAGCAGCACCCTAACATTCACAATTCCACCTGGACCTTTGTATCATGCAAGTACCACTTTTTTTTTGCTATGTAGCAAAAGATGAGATTTTGATGCCAATTAAGAAACAATTTTTTGTTGACAGTGAAGTTGATATTTTGTATGAAACAGGCAGAAAGGAAATGTGGGGAGAATGATTAAATGCAGCAAAGGTCTTTGCGTAGCCATATTCAAATTTGGACATTACAGCTATGTGTTACGCTTTTTATGAAATATCTTCACAGCTACTGAATGGATTGCCAAACATTTTGGAACAGAAAAGTACCAAGAAAATGTTATTCCCCCCTCAGGAATAATTGTGATGACTTTGGGTTAGGGGTTTGCAACCTGGCAGTTTTTGTTCAAGCTCATGATCTAAAGGTGGCAACAATTTACTTTTCAGGCGAACAGTAACTTCACATAACGTCACTGACTAGCAGATCCGCTTGACGTTAACATACCAATAGAGTGATGTAGCCAGCTAGAAGGCTATGTGGATTGGACAAAGTGCTTCACGTGGCTCTTCCATGATGTATTGTAAACAAACGCAATTGAGTAGTGAGTACTTGAAGTGTTATTTTATCATAATGTTCTCTTTCGGTTCTTGTTTACAATTTCAAATTAAACTCAAGTTTTAAAATCAACATGTTGAAAACTGTAGTATTTTTAATGCAATATTATATCATAGGCTATTTTAAGTCTCGCTATAGTCTTCATAGCATATAAAAATCGCCCACCGCTAACTTTGGTGATTGCTTTACTTCTCATTTTGCACCATGCAATACTTGAGGACCAAATAGCTGCCAAACATTCCCATCAGCGTCTGACATATATTTCTTGTTTAATGCTAATTAGTAAAATGTTCTCATGCTAGCATACTGAACAACTGCTCTGGCAAAGTACAGCCCCACAGAGTGGCTGGTGCGGCTGTAGGCTTACAATGCTGTTGTGTTACCACTGGGTCAATAGATGTGTAATGTAAATGTGCTCACTCGTTGTGACAAATCCAATGCTGCACTGGAAGTCTCTGTATCTGAGGTTAAAGTTAAACTTGAGACCCTGCCAACGTGCATTTTCTAGCTTTAACCTGTCTCGCCAAAGAGCAAATAATTGCTCTAGTAAAAAATCAGACAGTTTCATGTACAATTACAATCAGGAAGTAGTTCTGTTGTGCAAAGCAGCACTGTGATCATGAGTGCTGAGGGAAATGAAACCACCGGACTGGAATTTGTATTTGAATACTTATTTGGATATAGATAACTAGCAGGACACAAATATTGACATGTATAGATACTGTTATCCATACTTGATTCCTCAAATTTTCTTATCATCCTAGTCATACTTGTGAGACATTATCATTGCAGTGTCAGCAATATTATCACGTGCTCTCTTGCAATATTGAGATGACTACTCTCCTTAGACATTTTACCTGCTCTGTCTGGCACATGTTCCTGTTTTTTTTTGTTTGTTTTTTTTAAACACTAAGAATCAACATGTCTGCTAAATGTTGCATAGCTGGTAGTACTATCTAATGCAGTGACTTTAATTTGGCGCCTGCTTTTTGAAAACATCCCATTTTAGAGGTTTGTTTTCCCCTTTTGTTACACTGATATTAACCTGTATTGTAGATGAATATCTTGAAATCTTTTTTAATTTGCAGATAATTACCGAACTATTAGTTAGACAAAAGGCAATGATTTGAGTATGCGGCCGGGGCCTCTGTGCCCTATGATTATGCAAAAATGACAAAATCTAGTGTGAAGTTTTTGTATATAATATAGGGCCTAATGTTAGTGACCTTGATATCTAAGCTTCTAAAACCTTAGTAAAACATGTAAACATACTAACATGCCTTCTCAAACTAACAAACAGTAACTCTCATACCTCACATAGTTTGTGCTGGCCTACAAATGTCCCATGAGGGTGGGGTTAGTCCCACAATACCTAGAGTTTACACAATCACAGGAAACGCAACTTATTCTACTCATCTGATTTACAGCTTACACCTGCTTGACCTGATGTAGGACCCCCCCTACCCATCTGGTTTTCTAAGAAGGCCTTTACTGAGAATTATTAACTAATGATTGTACTCCAACTGCTAGTCACCATGAGGCAGCTCTGGGTGCAGGTCTTCCAAACCTCATCTTTAAAAAGGGAGGCAGAATCAGTTACTAATGTCTTCCCCACCTTTTTGAGTCTATGTAGGGAGAGGTGGGTGTTTTGAGGAGGGGGAACTACTGTGGGGTTAAAGTAGATAATGCGGGGATCCAGAGCATGCAGGCCAGGGCCAAGCAGTTCCCTGACAGACCGCAATAACTGCCTGGCACTGTTTAGCCACACACCCTAAGCTTATGATCCAACAATGTTACATTTCCAACAAAGATGACGAAAACCCCTAATATGAAATCATGTCAAAATTATCTTTGAAGCTCTCATCGCCTCTTCACCTCGGCCTTCTGTTGAGGTTCTCTCTCCCCGCTAACTGGATCAGGTTTCGGACCTACTCATTTTGCCATTAATGTAACAACCAATGAACTACATTTTTGTTTTTACACAATGAAAAACCATGTCCTCAGCCTAACTCGATCGATATCATAATCCGCCTGAATCGAGAGCTGGCAACGTGATTAGGAACTTGTGGTTTTAGTGCTGAATTGCATCCAGCTGACCAGCCAGGAATTTGATTGCGTGTATGAAATCATCTGATGCCAGAAACACTAGTTATTCACGATGGGCCTTTCTGGCGACCATCGATTCAAGTTAAAAACATGACAAGAAAATACTCACCAAGTCGACCATTCCGCACACGTCGGGCATTTACAGACAAACGGTCAACATTTCTGCAAGTCAGAAGTATTAAAAAAAAAAAAACGCCAGTCAACACGACGCAGCTAGCCAGACAGGGAGCCAACTAACATTAACGTTAGCCACAGCTACTTCTTCTAACGATAGTTGGATTTAGAATAAAAACCAGACGGTGAGCCGGTGTCCCGGCAGGAAGAGCAGCTGTCCGCTTTCTATCCACCTCGTCAAATCGGGGTTTTCGCTCGATAAAAAGTCAGTGTTTTCCAGTCGATGTAAAGCAGGATGAAACTAGAGAGGTGGCAACCAAAGTGCTACTGTTGGGGGTTAACAACTTTGCTGTAAAACACGGCCCGTGATTGGACAGCCGAGGCCACCAATCACCTGTGGAGGGCCCTGGGCTTGTAGTGTCACGCTCCACGGGGGATGGAACGAAACGTGATTGGCTGACATTTGTCACGATGTCTGCTCTTTAGCGCTTAGCTTATTTTTCTGTTACATCAAAACTATACTTAA